CCCCTGCAGCCGCCGGTCCGGAGGGGTCCTGAGCCCGAGAGGAGCGGGCAGGGGGCTTTTGAGACTTGGCGGTCGACTCCGTGGCTGCAGCGCCTTGGGAAGAAGCGGGAAGAAGCGGGTGTCCTAGAAAGGTGAGAGGGATGGACGTGCTCTAGAATGAGACGTCTGAAATTCCAGTGAGAGCCTTTGAAGAGACTCCGTCATTCAGACTGACCAGAGGAAAATTATCGCCTCTTCCAGAACAGGCTCCGTCCAGTTATGCACTCCCCTTTCTCCACTCCTGAGGTAAACATACCCTTCCCTATACACACCCAAGACTTATTAATTTGCATAATGATGATACGTTATGGACACATCTGCCTTAGACCGTTAGCACAATCAAAAAAAGTTATGTAGCCGAAACCGGTTTAGCTCAGTGGATAGAGCGTCGGCCTGCGGACTGAAGGGTCCCGGGTTCGATTCCGGTCAAGGGCATGTACCTGGGTTGTGGGCACATCCCCAGTGGGAGATGTGCAGGAGGCAGCTGATCGATGTCTCTAGCTCTCTGTCTCTCTCCCTTCCTCTCTGTGGAAAATCAGTGGAATATATTTTTTAAAAAAAGTTATGTAGAACCTTTTTAATGGTAATGCCTTTTAACAATGTAATTCAAATATTTATTGAGTCTCCACTATGTGCAAGGCACTGTGCTCATTTACATGGGGGACACAAACATGAGCAAGACATCAAGGATCTTACACTTTAGTAAAATACATGAAACTATATCCTATAAGGCAGAACTCACATGTGCAATGTGTTACAATAAGACATGGCTATGAGAACATAAGCTTGCCTGGCACATAGCACACCTTCCATATTTGTTGGATGAATAAGGAAATATTAGGAGAATGTGGACTGTTTCAAGAAAGAAATGCTGTTTAATAAATACCTCTTATGATAAACACAAAATGGGGGCAGTCCCTGCTATAATCTGACCAAGAAAATCCTCCATTCAAATTCCTAACATTGTGGCACCTGGTCTACATATTCAAAACGTCTATTGTCTAAATTGTGTCTGTTAGGTCTATTTATAAATAAACTAGAGGACCAGTGCACAAATTCATCCATCAGTGGTATCCCTCGGCCTGGCCTGCAGAGATGGGGCCGAAACCGGCTCTCCGACATCCCCCGAGAGGTCCCGGATTGCGAGAGGGTGCAGGCCAGGCCAAGGGCCCCCACCAGTGCACCGGGGCAGGGAGGGACCGCAGGAGGGCTCCAGGGCATGTCTGTCCCATCTCACCCAGTCTGGATCGGCTGAACCCCAGCAGCAAGCTAACCCACCGGTTGGAATGTCATAGTGACTGGTTGGACGGTTGGACACTTAGCATATTAGGCTTTTATTATATAGGATATTACAGTCAACTTCTCTGTCTCCTCACTAATTTCTGAAGTCCTCAGTTTCTAAACAGGTGGAGAGGAGACATATTAGAATTATCCATCTCAAGACTAGAAAATCGGCTCCTGAAACAGGAAACATCCTAGCTAGCTATATCTCTTGGGGATACCGTGGGTTTACAGTTGAAGACTTAGGCCTGGGCCTAGGGCCATACCACAGCCAAGCAGGTCTGAGTGCCTTGCACCCAGGACCAACAATACAGGTTAGCAAGTAGAGCCATTTGGCCTGAGCTGCAAGCATGTGAGGACCACAGATTTTGGCTACATCTCAGTGGCAAATTTGAGGAGGAGAATACGATGAGACTTGGTCATTTACGTTGATTCTAATTGAACTCCATTGATCACACATCCCCGCCCCTTGCTAGATAAGTCTGAGGTAGGAGGACATATCTACAGATGAGAAGATTCAAAAATCTAAAGCTGTCTTGTTTTACCAAGACCCTCCCAGGACCGGGTTATGCCCATCTGTGTCCTTTTAGTCTTAGAGTGTTCAAAGGCATTCTCCACCCACAGTACAAGGCAGACTT